GTGATTTGCTAACTTTTTTCCCTTGTAATTAAAAAACTAAGCTTCGGATAAAATTTTGACTAAGGAAGAAATGTCTTAGAATCACGTCAGGAATACATTATTTTAAAGACAAACGCGTTTTCTGAGACACCCTGTATATGTACTCTCTAAATCTCTCGGAGATTTCGAGAGTACATACATGATTCATAACACATACAGTACACGTTGAGTGCAAGTGAGTTGTGTGATTAAGTGTTGTGTGATCTTTTTTTTTATTCAGCATGAAGAATTTCACCGAGCCTCCTAAGCAGCTTATGGAGGAAGAGGATATCCTCCTTGTCGAGAACATCCTCTTCGATGAGGATGTCCTTGAAGAAGAGGAGGCGGTGGTGGTGGAGGAGGAGGAGGAGGCGGAGGGGGTGGAAGAGGGGGTGGAGGAGGAGGAGAAGGAGGAAGAGGAAGAGGAAGTGTATAATCCTATAATCAGACTTGAGGAGAACAATATTGTTATTAGACTTGATCAACTCTTCGTATCGGAAATTGACCTCTTCTACCACCTCATCGAGATTGCCGATGAGGTGGTGGAGGTGGTGGTGGAGGAAGATGAAGTATAGACTAGGAGTACGCGAGGAGGAGGAGAAGGAGGACGCGGAAGAGGAGGAGGAAGAGGAGGAGGAGGTAAGTCCTTTTTCCAAATAATACTTAAAATAATACCGCTCGGGTTTTTGGGGAGGGCGGCGGCAGGGCCCCATGATGGCGACGGCGCGTATCAATGGTATCGCTGTTTACATAAACAGCGATACCACTGCTCACGTCACCATGCTCGGCCTTCCTCAAGCTATCCTCTCCCTTCCCTCCCCACGCCTACGAATACCCCCCGCATCCCGCTCCCCCTCTAGCCCCATGGGTTAGAACCGCCCTTACTATACTACGTATAATATTACGTGTGGCCTAATCTCTTCCAGACAATTTGCTATTTCACGCTTTTTATTTAAATCGTCATATTTATACCATCGTGTACCTGTTAACGCGAAGGCAATATAGTGCCCATTATTTCGATCTTCATATTGCGAATAATGAACGACACCTGTTAAAGTGTATTTAATATCACCTAAAGTGATAATTTTTGTGATGCTATTTAGTGTATGCTTCAGATCTATACGTCGATTACTGTAACGATAGTCTGTAAAAATAGATGTATCAATTATTATATGATTTCCATAAATATTGCAATATTTTTTTTAAGTATCACATGTAGGACATATTGAACTTCTTTTCACATTTGTAACGTCATTGATATCATGTTGCATATGATGCAAACCTTCCTGCAAAAGAATATCGACATTGACATTCAATGTTATTGTTCGACGTGATTCTGTAACGCCACAAGTACAAGTTGTCGTAGCCGTACAACTAGGCTCATTTTGGAAAAGATAATCCGCTAAGTGCAACATTACAATTAGCATTAAGTGGCTTAATGCTTCATGTATAAAATTTAATCGAATCACGAAAAAGTGGTAGGTTTTGCAAAATCGAAGCTCGTTCATAATAATGTTTCGAAAATATTTTACCATCCTCTAGGAGGGATTTTGCCAATCGAAATATATCATCTGATGATGATTGAATTGAATTTCTATATGCTGCATGTGTTGCGATTCCACTTGCAACAAGTTGCAAAAGAGAATCGAATGCGCACGTTTCTTGTACAGTCATCATTGATTGTCCTTTTTTTATTGGTTTACATTTACTGCCATTAATGATAAGGGGCAAATTTTGAAAAATTTTATATTTTTTACATAATCCCATTCGGGACATTTATCTAAGTAAGACGGCTTAGCTCTTTTTTTAATAGGAGTTTCTTGTTCGTTGATGGTTGAACCTACCAAGCCATGCCAATTTTCAGAAACATTCCACAGGCAATCGGTTTTATTAGTATCCCCTGTATCATTTGAATCTTCTTTGACAGAAGAATGTATATCATTCGAATCGCATTCGATTATACTTTTGCTATTATTATTCACGGCAGTAGTAATACTAGGCCGGTTTTAACCCATGGGGCTAGAGGGGAATGCGGGGCGCGGGGGGTACTCGGAGGCGAGGGGAAACGGAGCGCGGGGATTCTTCGGAGGTGGGGGTATGACGTCACTGGGCGAGCGGGAACGGGGCGCGGGGAAGGTCCCAGAGTCGCCGGTACCGCTGTT